TGTATGTATATTTTCTTCTTTTTGTAGCAATAGATATAATGTCAATTTCGCAACTTTATTTTTTTTTTCAAATAATTGTGAATTATGAAATTATAATTTATTATATTAATATACTAGTTATTAAAATTACCTTAAGCTTGATTTCGTTGCCAAACCAACAATAATAAAAAATTGGAGCTAGAGTAGTAGCTATAACCATAATATCTTGTATATAAGAAACAGTATCAGACGCTCTAAAAGCCATATGAATTAAATTGTAGCACATTACCACTGTGATCATTAAGAACTCACTAGGAATTATTTTGCCAAATTTATCGTTAAGTATATACGCGTATCTAAAATTACAGAGAATATATTTATTCATCTATAGATTTTATTAAGATTATCTAATATAATTAATTGAATTATATTGTTATGTAGTTTAATATTAAAAAAAACATGGAAATTATCTTATTTTTCTAATTTCCTTATAACAGCTTCTTTATTCTTAAAGAAAATTAGTTTATATTGATAGCATGCAGTTTTTTATCATCAAAGACAACAAAATAGTTCTTAAAAGATTCATTTCAATATAATGTTTCTACATAGTCATAATATAAGTAGAAATTAAAATATTATTTTTTGTTTAATAAGCACATTAATTATTTTTGCAAGTCCTGAAAGAATCTAAACAAATATATACAAATAAAAATAATGGAACTTTTTAATTCTTTAAAATACTGAGCTATTTTCATATTTATTTTCCTTCTACAATATATTTCTAGTATGACGTATATTAAAAGGAATAAAAAGAAACTGTAAAAAATATATGAAACATTAATTGGTTATTCAATTCGTAAGTGAAAAATCTATTGATATTTATACTGTCAATACATATCGATATATAGCCTTTCTGACAATTCAAAATACCATTTATTCCAGTATTCAATACTATATATATATTTCTATCTTCAGTTCTTAAGTGTAACTAATCTGCCCCCAAATTTCGAATTTATTCCTAATTTAATTTTGAATATATAATTTTCGCCTCTAGATGGTTCAAATAGTTGAAAAATCTTAATTGTCGAATAAAATATTATTGAAAGATTGATTATTTTCTGATTGTGACCAGAAAAATGACAAGTTTCAATAAGAGTTTCAATAAGAGAGATTCTTAAAGAAATATAAACAAAGAAATATAACATTCTACTTTAGAAAAATAACTCAAACAACACATTTATATATAAATGTGTATATAACTTACTCAAATATATATATATGATGGCGTACACAATTGCGCAGATTTTCTTGGTCATTCGCAATATTCGACAAACGATATTCTAAAATCTCGATTTGGCAGCAGATATGCAGCAATAATCCGCAAATTAAATTGTCACATGTGGGATGTATAAGTCCGATAAATATTAGAGAGAATATCTGATGAGCGTATGCTAGATAAAATAGTGCAGATATTGAGCTGTTGAATGGTAACCATGCTCTGTACATTAAAGTTCCATTCTTAAAATTCGTAAATATCGAAAGCAAGATCATATAAGTGGCAGTTATCGAGACGAGAATTAAATAATATAATGTATTATTCCTATAAAATCATTTATATATAAAATGTAATTTAATTTAAACAGTTTTAATATAATTTAGTTATAAAATACTGAAAGAAACTTACGTTATTCTCTTATCAAACTTCTCCCGAATCATGTTTTCGCTCAGATCCACTGGTTTAAATGGCTTCTCAACAAGATTACCAATTAACATTGTAATACTATCGTGATTTATCCGTATAACAATTGCCTTGTAGCATGCCAAAAGCGAAATCAAAGCGTTGAACAAGGCATCACCAATTGTGTCAGCGTTGTCGGCTCTCAATATCAACTCCATAATTTGAGTCATTGCAAAGGTGTATAATGTTATAATCATTGATGCTGTATAAGCGTTATATATCATGTGTTTAAACAGCAATGTCCACGATGTTGGTCGCCAGCATCCTGCGACCGCTAAAACCGTGAGCGTAAATTTCAAGATAGGCATTTCGCTTTTCTTTCCAACATCATTTCTCAATATCCACTTGCCCAACATTAATCACTGTTTTAATTAATGTATATATATATATACTTATTTACTACAAATTTTGATTATTATGATAATGTACTAATGAGCGATAATTAGTAATATCGAGATTAATTGTCTTTAGATATTTGATCGTGTATTTCCCTAAATGATCGCTAATTAATTGTCTTTATGTATGTTAATAATACAAAAATATAAAAATTTAATAATAATAAAATAAATAAAAGTTTATTATTATTACAAGAATTACTATGATATCAGAATTACTATGATATTATTATTATCTTATATGATCCTATTATTATATTTACGTAAAATATTTCATTTTTTTATACATTAAACTTACAAAAATTTTGATTAATTTGTTCGAATTGTTCGTTGAATACTTCACAAGTTTTAATCGAATATTCGCTGCATGTATGTGACAAGTCAAATGACGTTACAAGAAAACAATCTCGTAACGTCTATAGTCTCTCAATTTGATAACGATATTTCGCCCAACTTTCCTCTTCATATAAGGTATCTATATTATTATCATAATAACAGACTTCCTCTCGTAAAATAATATTCCCGAGAATTGAGAAGTGACATTCTTCTGAAATAATATCTATTACGAAATTGCATAATATACCATTATTTTTGTAGTGACAGTCGCGGACAATTCTGTATGAAAGAAGTCAGGTATACACAAGCAAAGAGATATAAAGAAAAATAAATTCTTTAAATTGTCATCAATATAAACTATCTCCGAGATACTTGATACAATTCCTTTATTGTATTCTTTATTGTAAAATATCTTATTTATAACTCACCATAGGTAACACCACAATATTATTCTATAATACAATGAAAATACTCGAAAAATCAAATTCTTCAAATATTAATTGAGCAGTGACTACAGCTTACCTGTGTACAACATTAATGCCATCCGTTACTCAGTTACAAGCTATTATCATCACATTTCCTGTCATAGTATCTACATTCTAACTATTTATATGATATTGTGATATCATGCACTTTCTTTCAGATGAATTTTTTATATTTTTGATTGAACATAAAAAAAAAGTGTGTAAAGTCATAATTTGTTATAAATCATTAAAATTAATAAAATTTATATAAATTTTAGTAACATATAATATAATCCTTTTTACATTACAAATATTCAAATATTCAGTGCATATAATAATTTTGAACAATATTCAATACTTCTTTAGTTGATTTACTAATATTTTTTTATGTCAAAAAATAGATAATTAAAGTATTAAAATAATTCATTTATAATGTTGAAGATCAAATTGAATTTATAGATGTATGAATGTAAAACATTGCAATAGTAGAATGTTAAATATATATCTCTACAATTATTTTGTTTTTATAAGTAACATACATTTATAAAATTTTTTAAATTAATGTGAGATATAGATAGATTTGCTTAAATATTTTAAAAGGTATTACTTTATCGTATGTTTGACAAATTAGTTATACTATAAAACCTTATGAATTTAGAAATTTTTCATAATATTTATTTTTTTTAATATTTTAACTATATTGGATAACAATATGTACATATGTCAAATTTTTGTGAAATAATTTTGTAAAATATAATTTAATTAATATGTAAAATATAATTGTATTATTACAGAATTACTTAATGTCTATTTTAAAAATAACACTGCGAGACAAAAGGGAAAAACATGTTAAAAGAACACATCTTATCCAACTTTATTATGACATTTTTCACATTTTAACGTATTTTTTATCCATGTATGTCAATTACGAGATATTATATTTTTTTATTGCCTGTCATTATATGAAAAAAATGTCGTTATATACAAGAACAATATTTTCAAATCTGAGAACTAAATTTATTTTATCTTTATAAAATATATTTATTGTAAAATACTCATTGTAGGATATTCTATTTCATGTTATCATAATATCTATAACAATTCTGTATTAGAATATTACCATTATATGAATAACTTCTTATATAGATCATAAAAAATAGAGAAAGTTATAATAAGAATCATTTCAAGTGTACTAGTTCACAGAAATCGAAGAAACAACATAAAATTAAATTTTGTTGCATAATACGTTGCATCTGCGTGTGTAAACTCATATTGTCCAACAAGTATATACATATTGTATACAAATGAAAATAGAATTTCGAAATAACAGAAGTAGTGTTCCAAAATTTATTGCCACTACTGAAAATCTGTAGTTTACATTGCAAGCAAATTTTGGAACACAGCCAGAGTGAGCTGAGATTTAAGCAAGTTAAGCAGTTTTGTGATTTCTAGAAATTAGAACATAATATAATATAAGCATCATTGTGTTATTTTTTTTATATCTCATCATTCTTTTACTTGAACTTTCTTTGCAGCTAATCATAACGTTGAGTTTGAATCGTCTAATACTTTCAAAATCTTTATTTTCCAGCAAAATAAAAATACAACAAGAAAATATAAAAATTGTGAAAGGATTTTTTTCTTTTATTTTATATTTAACTATTTTTCTTTATTTATGATTAAATATTGATTTATAAATCATATTTTTATATATAATTAATA